AAATGCCGCAATGAAACATTAGCCAGAGAAGCAACAGAAAAATTAAGTAGAACAACAATTGGCTCAGTTAGTTCTTTGAATGCTGCCAAAACATGTTATTCGTGTAATGGATTTGGTCATGTGTCCAGACAGTGCCCTACTATGAACAACTTCAGGCAAAATAATACTGCACGGCCACAAACTAAGTTATGTTATTCATGTCAAAAGCCAGGACATTTGGCAAAATCCTGCCCCTTGGCTAATCAACAACCAGTTAATACTAAGCTCCAAGGTTATGATAAGAATTGGCAAATGGATAGACATGTGACCATTTGCCATCGTTGTGGGAATAGTGGCCATATTGCAAAGTTCTGTAATGCCAAGTTGGAGGGAGGTCTGGGTTCTAGTAGAGATGGTGAAAGCCCCAAGAAAAATGATTAAAAAATCAGACTGTCTACCGTTTCTTCAGCGAGTAAGAAGAAACCCTTATGGTCGAGACTACTATTAATGGGAAAAACAAACTTTGTATAGTTGACACTGGCGCATCCATTTCATTAGTTAGTAAAGACCAGTGGCAACCTCTTAAACTGGATGATACCCCATTATTTCCATCCGATATTGTTGCAGAAGCCGCTAACAATTCTCCCATTGGGATTTTGGGCAAAACCACCTTGAATGTGCAATTTGATGAAAACAACAAGTCATCTCATGACTTTTATGTGGCTAATGAAATGGTGTCTGAAATTATTCTGGGTTTAGATTGGTTAGTAACTAACAAAGTAATTGTCGATATGGCTGAAATTCCCAGATGGTACCACAAAACCCTTGTGTTTATTTGATTCAACCATAGCAGATCCCCTGGGCGTTGTTCTAGATGAGGATTTGGTTGTTCTGGCGAAACATGAAGTTTTCAAAACTGCCAGGGTCCGAAATCCCACTTTAAATGAAAGCATCTTAGAGCCTAATATGAACTCATCCGGGAAAGGTGTTCTTGTAGCAAGAGTTATTGTACAGCCAAAAGAACAGAGGGTACCCATCCAGATTATTAATCCAGGGACATCACCTATTAAGTTGTACAAGGGCATGACTGTAGGGCAACTTCAGCAAGTGGATGATGAGTTAAGAGACCCAACATTTATTAATTCAAAGTGTGGTACACCATCTGCTGAGGATAAGATCAAATTTGAGTTAGAGCATCTGTCGGGTGAGGAGCGAGAGAGGATGGAAAATTTGTTGAATAAACACCAAGATGTTTTCGCGAAAATTCTAGTGAACTTGGCGTAACCACACTAGCAGAGCATAAGATTGAGACAGGCGATGCCGTACCTGTTAAACAGCTGCCTCGAAGACTGCCCAATTCTCTGAGAACCGTTGTTGAAGACCAAGTAGAAGAAATGTTGGAAAACAACATAATTAAGCCGAGTAATTCACCATGGTCAAGTCCTATAGTCTTAGTTCGAAAGAAAGATGGGACATGGCGTTTTTGTATTGATTTCAGGAAACTAAATGATGTCACAGTGAAAGATGCTTTCCCACTTCCCCAGGTTACTGATTTGATGGATAACTTAGCTGGTCATCAGTATTTTTCGACACTCGACCTAGCCTCGGGATATTGGCAGGTTCCAGTTTACGAATCTAGTCAGGAGAAAACAGCTTTCGTGATTCCAGGGGGTGGTCACTTTGAATTCCTGCGTATGCCCTTTGGCCTAACGAATGCTGTGCCCACGTTCCAGCGACTTATGCTTGCTGTGTTGAATGGTCTTTTGCCACTCAAGTGTCTGGTTTACTTAGATGATGTTTTGGTCGTGGGTCGCACGTTTGACCAACATTTGGAGAATTTGGACGATGTCTTGCAGGCTATAGACAGAGCTGGATTGAGACTTAAGTTGTCCAAGTGTAGTTTTGCGAAGCCAAGGGTGGATTTCTTCGGTTTTACCGTTTCTGCTGCTGGTCTGGCCCCAAATGTGACCAAAGTTGAAGCAATCCGTGCTTTTCCTACCCCACAGAATCTCACTGAGTTGCGACGTTTCCTGGGTATGGCCTCTTACTACAGGCGTTTTATTTCTGGTTTCAGTGACATTGCAGGTCCTCTTCATCGTCTGACGCAAAAAGGTGTCCGCTTTGATTGGGACAAGAACCGTCAACAAGCGTTCGAACAACTGAAAGAACAACTTATATCTGCCCCTTTTTTTGCATTTCCTGACTTAAATGGAGACTATATATTGTATACGGATGCGAGTGATGTGGGCATAGGCGCAGTGCTGACCCAAAAGGATGAAAATGAGGAAGAAAAAGTGGTTTCTTTTACATCTAAGGCATTTTCGGGTGCTGAAAAGAACTGGACAACAACAGAAAAGGAAGCATTTGCAGTGGTCTGGGCTTTACAATACTTTCACCCATATGTATATGGGAGAAAGGTCACCATATATACTGATCATAAGGCTTTGAAATGGCTTCGAGACATCAAACAACCAAATGGTAAATTAGCTCGTTGGATCTTAAAATTGGAAGAATATGACTATACGATAGAACACCTACCTAACACGAAAATGCAGCATGCGGATGCCTTGTCTCGTGCACCTGTGAACACTACCTTGGTTTCGATGTCAACCTGGCAAGAGTTTGAAGACATGCAAACGTTCGACGAGGATATTCAGTTGAATGGGTGCAAAGTGGTTCTAGACCAGATCAAAAACCGGTTGATGTGAGTGTAACTCTAGATACATTACAAAATAAATTACTGTTTTATGTTGAAAATGGACATGATCTAAATTAATCATACAGAATTTTTTAGTGACGTTCTATTTCAGTACCCTGCCATTGTCTCTGGTGGGCTGTCCGTGTGCATTCGATCTGAATCAGTTGCTACTTTGCTGTCGAAAAATTTCGAATGTTTACATGAAAATAGAGGCAAGTCATGCATTTTCCAACCTCGTAAACTGTATGAGCCCCTATTTTTACGCTTATACCTAAGATATCAAATAAAAATACATGAAACAGAGAACATTTTTAGAAAGTTTTATCGTGAGGCCACGGCCAGTTTTTAAAATATCTTTATTTCTGTTCCAGTCATCACCAAAATTACACTAAAGCCGGTCTTGAATATACAACAAATTTTGAATCTCATCAAGTACAAAAATATTTAACGTGTAACCAAAATATGCAGGGGCGCCGGAATATCGATAATTGGGGGGGGGGGGCAGATATTCATATCTTCGTGTTCTGTCCAATTAATTTCTTTTGAAATCGATTGTTTTTACAGTCTGTGAACACGAATATATGAATATCTGCCCCCGCAATTATCGATATTCCGGCGCCCCTGAAAATATGCTCATGAAATCGAAATTAATAGCTAAATTTTCAAACTAGACCCTTCTCGAACCGGTTTTCATGAAGGAAGTTCACATTTCGGCCTTTGATTCTTGGCAAAAATTTGACCACAGCACGTGCGAAGTAACTGGGTCTCAAAGACTCAGCTAAACATTGCGAGCCCCTATTTTCCTGATGATATGTTTGATACCTACAAACGCCGAAAAGTTTTTTCTTTTCATTTAGCTATATTTGAAATTGAGGCCACGGGCTATTTTTGAGAAAATACAATTCAAAGTCAAGCTATTTTTACATATTTTCAAAATTTGTCAAATTTCGCGAGCTTGTATTTTGAACCTAGACAGCTGAAGTTACATTAAGAAACATAGGATGGAAAATTTGATGCATATAAAGTTAATTTCAACTTACATTTCATTCTCATGTCACGTCTTTCTTCGTTTATTACGGTTTTAAACAAGCCACAGATCAACGTATACGGTATTTACTCCCATGTTCACGTCGCCATATTAACTTCTTCCAATCACTCGATTACAAAACAAATCATCCCAAAACAAAGAATTCATACTCGACTTTTAAAAGAATAACCGTTAATTTGTAAATTGTTGAATGGAAAGCGAAAAATCGTCAGCTAAAACCGCTTCTTGCTAACTTTCTGCTTTGTTTTGAATGCAAATGCAATGAGCTTTGTTTCTGCCCGCGATTTTTTGGTCAGCGACGACAAATTTCCCACCTGTTAGTTAACATAATAATTGCTGAGATTATAATTGTTTTCAGTTTTAACAATTAACATACTTTAGTACGGTCCTAATGACATTCCGGATATTTACTTTTATCTTGAACAAATTAGTAGCAATTTAGCATAATTGTTTGTAACCTATTAATATAGACGTAGTTTCACGTTTTAGTAGAACCGACGAAGGTCTTAGTTGTTTGACCGAAACGTCTTCCGATATTTTAAATATTTTTAAAATAAATTTTTAACCAGTTTCAACCGTCCAAGCTTTACTTTTAGCTTCCAAAAGATGTCTTCCACTGGTTGCAATTTTAACATTTTTTGAAAGAATATAAACATAAATATATTTATACATATGTGTGCAACGGAGTATGGTTGTCCTTATAAACAGACAACGGAAAAATATTGGCAAAATAAATCATATTAATAACTATTAAAGTCAAAGAATTACCAAAATTTAAAACCTTGAACGATAAGCAAGTGACCAACACTTTATATTTTACAAATATTACTACTGTATAGAGTGAACATGTCATGCCGCGATGGCAGCTCTTCTCAGGCCAGCGCAGAAAATATTTTTATAGCGGAATAAACCACCAACTACAACTATAAACTATCAAATAACCCACACTGAGTAAGCATTTTAAATTTAATACGTTCGTAATATTTCTGTATTTTGTTTACATCATGTTCTCTGAGATTTATAAACAGGTTTTTTTGTCTAGCCAATCACATCACTTCATGTGACTGTTAATTATAACTAACCAATCATGTGCTTGGTACAAATTTTGTACCAAAGGAAGAGAGATTTGTATCGCGTGCCACCAGAGGTTCTCTTCGCCTCGCGTAAAATAAATACGAGCGGGAATAAGGCGAAAGATACAGAACCTCTGGCAACCAGGGTAAAAAAATGCTCACTATCTCTCTATTTGACGTAACTAGTATCTATAATTTCCTGGGGTGCAAACTGAACTATTTTTATACTATTTAGATACTTTCGTAACACAAGCTTGTAATCAAATGTCATTGCGTTAAAAATAATATTCAACTTCTCCCTCACATCAGTTTTCCTTGATTGATGACAGTCTATGGTGTTCTGCAGTTACAGGCAAAGTGTTGGCGAGGCCTAAAACCGCAGCGTGATCCGCACTATTCTAGTGCGGTTCACGCTGTGATTTTTTTCGTGCGGGTTGTCATGTCATACAGCATGCAAAAATGGCGTCTGTTGTCACACTAATTGACCACTTGCGTAATAGACTAAATTTTGATCTAGACAAAAATTTCATCACAGCTAGAAAGTGCATCACAAAATTAGTAATATTCCAAAGTTTCTTTGCGAAATGTTGTAAAATGCGGATAATATTGCCTTGCGAAGTTTGCAATTTTCAGTCATTTTAGATTACAAACGGGAAATTGACAGCCCAATACCCTTTGGGCCAATGTCAATTTCCCGTTCGCAAGGCTATATTATCCGCATTTTACAACATTTCGTAACGAAACTTTGGAATATTACTAATTTTGTGATGCTCTTTCAAGCTGTGATGAAATTTTTGTCTAGACTTGTTTAGATCAAAATTTAGTCTATTACGCAAATGGTCAATTACTGAACCAAATTGCCTAAAGGCTAAATTCGTCCATAGGAAATATGCATCTCTAGTTAATATTGATGTTGGGACTCTACTGCTCTCTATTCCCATTTACAAGCATAGCGTCATTAGCGAACCAGAAGGGTGTTAAAAATTTAGTATAGTATATATCTAATCATATTTTACAATTAATATACGTACAATACTTCACACATTCCATAAGGCGTTCAGAAACTATATAAGTTTGGATGCTAAATATTAATAGCACATGATTAGGACTGATTTACGGCATACTCAATTTGAAATCAAGATTAGGACTGATTTACAGCATACAATTTGAAATCAGAGAATCTTCAAACGCGAACGCGATATTAGGCACTAGCCCTCGGGCTTAAAGGTAGGCTGAGTGAGGACACTGTTATATTTATGTTGCGTACAGCTATACATTATTAGAGACCTTAAGATTGACGTTTACGGCAAACGTCAAACCGCTAGCGAAGTTTTTGATTTTACAACTCTATTATAATAGCTTTTACACCAGTTTTGAAATATGTTAAACTTATTAAACTTGTGCTCTTTAGCAATGATTTAAGAAAGCAAATTAACTACTAGACATGCCATTCACCAAAGCAGTAAATTAAGATTTGGCGTTTGAAGTTGGCGTTTGGCGTATAGATTTCATGCTTGAACTGCTACGAGGGCTTGTAGTCGTTAAAGCATGAAATTTATACGTCAAACGTCAACATCAAACGCCAAATCTTAATTTACTGCTTTGGTGAATGGCATGACTAGTGCTTAATTTTCTTTCTTAAATCATTGCTAAAGAGCAGAAGTTTAATCAGTTTAACATATTTCAAAACTGGTGTAAAAGCTACAATAATTGAGCTGTAAAATCAAAAACTTCGCTAGCGGTTTGACGTTTGCCGTAAACGTCAATCTTAAGGTCTCTATTGTTGAAAAATTGAAACCATTACCTCGGCAAACGTGGACAATCTACAAAGAACTTCTTTCTGGTGATAGTATCTGCAACTCTGCACGTTTATCGCTATGAGCGAGTGAAAATAACAAGACTTAACTTAAGGCGGTTTTCCAGTCCTCGCACGAAGCTCCTCGCAGCTCGCTGCGAGTGCTTGCATCTAATTAAAATTAACAATTCAGCATTGTGATTGGATGAAAGTGGGCAATTGCTAGATAGTATACTTAAAAATAAGATTTCCGTTTTTTTATTAATTTGTAAAATAATTAAAATAAGTTAGGGTTAGGTTAGGGTTTAGGTTAGGGTTAGGTTGGGGTTAGGGTGAGGGTTAGTATTAGGGTTAGGGTTTAGTTTTG